ACAATCGCGCAGCTCAGCTGTGATTGTCAGCCTTTTTTTTTACTTTTGAAACCAAAAAAGCAAAACCTGCGCATGTGCAGAGGGTACAAAACACATTACTTCCTGGTTAAAACCAGGAAGTAACGACAATTGGGCGGCCGGGCGGAGCCTCATGCTGCGATCACTACCGGTTCGCCAAACCACCTGCCATGATCACTACTGGATCGGGCAAGCCGGTCCAAACCGGGAACATTTCACCCCTGAGACAGAGGAAAAGGTGGCTCAGAAGAGTCTCCCAGCATGGAAAGACATAGGCAGGTGTGCTCACCGGCGAGGGGAGAGCTGTTGGCAGAAGCCTGCAAGCAATCCAGAAAGGTTATTTACGGGACCACCTGCTATCACCAATAGCCTCCCACCGACCAGTACGCTCCCATAGAGAGGGGCTCCTCCGGGTGCCGTCGGCCAAACAATGTCGACTGGCGGCCCCCAGGGGGAGAGCCTTCTCTGTGGGGGCACCTACTATCTGGAACGAGCTCCCCCCGGAGATACGGAGGATCCCGGATCTGCGTACCTTCCGTCGCGCCCTCAAGACCTTCCTATTTCATCAAGCCGGCCTGACCTAAGTCTTTCCCCTTTTTAAATGGAAATTTTAAATCTGGTTTTAAATTATTGGGGTTTTTTAATTTGTTCAGCCAAATTATTTTAATTCGTTTTAATCTATTTTAAATTTTGTATTTATATGGCTTATTCTATGGCTGTTCACCGCCCTGAGTCCTTCGGGAGTAGGGCGGTATACAAATTCAATAAAAAAAAGGGGGCGGGTCCTGAGAGATCTCGGACGGGCACTCGCAGATGGGTTCCTGGGTGGGCCAAGGGCTGGCTTGAGCAGATGGGGGAGGCGGGGAGGATTTGGGATCTGGCCATTAGGGGGCGGAATCTGCCGGGTTTCTTTAGGGAATGGGCCTAAGCCCAGGCCTCTCGCCCACCCCCAGACCTCTTTGAGTACAAGTTCATCGACAGTCGGATCATCAACAGCACCTTCCTGCACAACAAAGAAGGGTGCCAGCTGGATTTCAGTGACGACAACAACGCTTACATGATCTACTTTGTCAGCTTCCTGGGCACCCTGGCTGTGCTGCCGGGCAACATCGTCTCTGCGCTCCTGATGGACAAGATCGGGCGTCTTCGCATGTTGGGTGAGGGGCCTCCCTTTTGGCAAATGCTTGGGGGGGGTATCAGCCCTCCCTCTCAGCAGGTGGTCCTGGGGGCCGAGTGAGGTGGGTGGCCCCTTTTCAGCTCTGGGACCGGCTGTCAAGGGGCCAACCGGTCAGTCATGTGGCGGGCTGCTTTAGGATCCGGAGTGGCGCTGGACTCCTTTTGAGCTCTGCCTGTGGGTGTCAGGCGGCCCAACAGGATCTGTCCGGGTCGGGCTTTGAAACCAGCCACGGGGATTCCTGATCTGGCCAGGACTTCACGGTGGAGACAAAAAGGTTTCTGGGCCTGCCCGTTTTTCACGATGAGGTCTAGAAAGAGACCTTGGTGAGCTAATGCTTCTCCTCCTCCTCCTCCTCCTCCTCCTCCTCCTCCTCCTCCTCCTCCTCCTTCTTCTCTACTCTGCCGCCCTGCCTCCTCCGACCAACACAGCCGGGTCGAGTGTCATGTCTTGCGTCAGCTGCTTCTTTTTGTCCTTCGGCAACAGCGAGTCAGCCATGATTGCCCTCCTCTGCTTGTTTGGCGGGGTCAGCATTGCCTCGTGGAATGCCCTGGATGTCCTCACAGTGGAGCTGTACCCCTCGGACAGAAGGTGAGGCTCCCCCGACATGCCCTCTAGAAGGTGTGGGGGGGGAGCAGACAGAAGAGCTGGGGAATGGGTCTCACCTACACTGGGTGTCGGTGGGTGTGTCGTACAGAAGGGTTGGCAAAAATGCCTGTGGCTTTCTGCCCAATATGGTTGTCCAGCAGAGGTGGGTTTCTGACCAGTTTTGAGTAGTTCAGAGAACTGGTAAATACCATCTCTGACTGGCCCCGCCCCCATCTATTCTCTGCCTCCCGAATCCCAGCTGATCAGGAGGAAATGGGGATTTTGCAGTAACCTTCCCTTGCCATGCCATGCCACGCCCACCAAGCCACACCCACAGAACCAGTAGTAAAAAATTTTGAGACCCACCACTGGTGCCCGGGGCCCCTTCTAACTGCCCCTGTGAGCCTGTTCGGGGAGGGGCCTGCTCCTTCGGGCACCTTCTGTGCTTCTGCCACTGATAGGCTCCTGGTGGCTTTACTCTTAACTGGAGGGTGATCCCTCCTGGCCCCTGGAATCAAAAGGGATGGGGAGACCCAGGGAAAGCTCTGCCCCCACAAAAGCCTTCCACTATCCCTTCTTCCTCTTCCTCCTCCTCCTCATGGCCTCCCCCTCCCTGCTTCCAGGACTACCGCGTTTGGGTTCCTCAACGCTCTTTGCAAGCTGGCGGCGGTTTTGGGCATCAGCATCTTCACGTCGTTTGTGGGCATCACAAAAGCCGTGCCCATTTTGCTGGCATCAGCGGCGCTGGCCGTGGGCAGCTCCCTAGCCCTGAAGCTGCCGGAGACCCGGGGGCAGGTGCTGCAATGAGAGCGAGCCCCTCGGCACTCTTCTGCCCCCACGCCCCCGCCCCCACCCGGGGGAGATTTAGCGTTGTAGACACTGTGACTGTCTTGTTGTACCATTTCAGTGGGAAATCTGTCTTCGCTTGGGTTTTCTTCCGCAAGCTCACCTGCTCTTTGAGTTCTCCTCACAATCCTTTCTCCCACGGTGCCGAGGTAGACGTGAAGGTGGGGAGGCCAAGCCATGGGAGGTGGGTGGCATTTTACAAGCTAGGCGTTAGCAAACGTAACACAAAACTTTGTCTTCTGCAATCTCCTTTCCTGCTTCTAGATCATGGTTTCCACAAGTCTGTGTATATGTGAATATGACTTCTACTTGTCCAGTGAAGTAAGACTACAACTCCCACAGCTAACAATGAGGGATAGAAGCAGGGATCCACATAGTACAAGCACACAAGCAGATGCATTTCGGGCTCTGCTGGCGTTTGAATTGGAGGCGTAGCTTCCCTCAAAGCCTGGTGGGCATGCACACACACCCCCACCCCCCCGCAGCACAACTTTTTCTTGGGAAAAGGGTTTTATAAGGAGTGTTTTAACTTGCAGCGTGTTCTTTTTTTCTTGCATTGGTGCTTTTCAAGAGGTGGCCCCTCCCACCTTCTGGGCTGATCCAGGACCCCCTTGGCCTCTCCTGGCTGTGGGTGAGTCACCTCAGTGGGGAGGGAAACCTCCCTCAGCTGTTTAGTTCCTGAAAGAAAAGAAGGTGGCCAGAGCCAGAACTTGCTTCCTTCCTTCTTCCGCCTGAACTGGGGCATCCAAGCACAACTTGGGAGGAGTTAAGCAGAAACGTTTTCTTGCATTTGCCACGAATAGCCCAAAAGAGCAGAAAATGCCGCTCCCAAGCGAAGCAGCTGAGTGCCCGAGCGGCAGGCAGATCTTGGACCAAATGAAGGGATTTTATGTAGCCTGATGCTGCAAGGCGGGAGCCCCCCCTTCCCCCCCCGGCTCTTCCCTAGCCTGGGACCCATTCTGTCTTTCAAAGGCTGGCTAGTTACAGGATTCTGAGTCTTGTGCATTTTGCCATCTTGTACCAAAAAGAGACTTCCCCCCTTGCACCCCATCCCTTTCCCCCTCCCCTCCTAATTGGTGGGACCACTAGGGAGGATGGCCCCAGTTCCTTTCACTCCCTGCAGCAACGATGGTGGTTCCTTCTTTATTGGGAAGAGCAGCTGGGTGTCTTTTCTTCTTCCTCTTCCAAGCCTCAAACCTCTCCAAATGCAAAAAGCCACATTTTCTTGTAGGGTGGGGAAACGGACCCCCCCCCCATCTTGCTGAGCAAACCTTACCCGATGAAATCGCGCCCTCCCTGCTGCTTCCAGACCTCAAGCCTCCCTGGGTTTAGTTCCCCTCCCGTGTTCTGGTGTAGGTGGGCTTCTGAACAAAACCAAGACACAAACCATATGTAGCTCTGTCTGTGCGCAAAACCAACTGACAAAAACTTTGTGCCGTGGTGTAGTTTTTAGATGTTTGTAAAGAACAATTAAAAAAAAAACAGGAAAAAACCAACCCATAATGTCAGCTGTAGTCTCTGGATCATTTCATTTTGTATAAACAAACAAGCCAAGAATGCTGGTTAGATAGGAGAGTTATTTTAAATGTCATTGTGAGAAACAGAGAATTTTTTTTTAAAGAAAAAAAGATGCTTTGGCTAATATGTGTATACAGATAGTTGGAGAAGGAAATCTGGATGTTTGGCTGAATCGAGCCATGTTCCCACAACCACCATGATGAACTTGTAGTTAACAACAATCCATGTAAAAAATGGAGGAAAATAAAAGATTGAAAAATCTAATGATCTTCCCTGGTTGAATTCTGCTTTTTAATAATCAGAAAGAAATGTCCATTTCACAGGCCACTTTTTCGGAGGGAGCCAAAGGACCTTTTTAAAGAAAGCCAAATCAGTTGGCAGAAAAGCAGAGCCTTTGGGAGGGGTGGGGTGTTAGACTGGAAGGGGGGGGTTTGCCCAGACAAGAGGCAGCAAGGCTGGCGTTCGGGCTTTCCTGCCATCGGTCAGGGAGCTCCAGTGCTGGCCGAGTGGGGGCTCCTCTAAGGGTCCACTGGGCCCCCTCCTACTTGATGAGGGATGCTGTTTTTGGTCTGTGCTATGGCCTCCCTGCCAACCTTCTGGGGTGGTGCCTGGGTTAAGCTGCAATCCCCACTAGAGGCCATTTAACCAACATTTCCGCCAGAGCGCAGGGCGAATGAGTGCCAGGGAGCAAATGGCTATTTGACCCTACTGTCGTTTCAGCCAGCGCTCCTTTCTGGGAACCCTTTGCCACGGGGTGGGAAAGAAATCACGACCCTCTCCCCCTCATCTGGGGAGGAACAGCTCCCCCCCCCCAATAACCACCTACCTCCCCACAAAACTGAGCAGACAAAGGGAGGAAAGGCCAAGGCCTTTAATAGGCTTCAGCAGACACCGCACAGGCCTCTTTAGGGCAGGGGAGCGAACCAAGCAAGCGGGCACAAACCGTGGCAGGTGGCGCCCAGGGCTGCTCTGGGCAGCTCAGCCCGGAAGGAGGCATCGACTCTGGGGGAAGGGAAGGCGAGGCGTGCGGGGACCCGCCGAGGAGGCTGCCGTCAGGGCTCCCCCTGGCCCTCTGGCCCGGCTTCCCCCCGCCCCGTCGTCTTCCCCAACTTGTCGGCCACGTGCGGGTCGTGCTTGGCCCCTCCCAGGCACGGGGGGCCCTGGCTGGCTCTGGAGCTCTTCTCCCACTGCTGCGGGGTCTTGGCCTGGATGGAGAGGGAATGGACGGGGCCGGCCAGCTCTTCCTGGAGGAGCTCATTGACCAGCCGGTGCCGGTGGATGAGCGAAAGGCCCTCGAAGCGCCGGCTGGCCACCACCACCCGGAAGTGGGTCTCGGAGCCGCGGGGCACGGCGTGCAGGTGGCTGTCGTTGAGGACCTCCAGGTGGAGGGGCTCCAGCGCCGCCTGCAGCTTGGCCCGGATGCCCGACTCCACCGGCTTCTCCACGGCCGAGCCGCTCAGCGCCGCGCGCCCGGCGGAGAAGGCCGGCCAGCGGAGGGCACGGCCGAGGGCCGGCAGGCTGGAGGGGACCATCGGCGAGTCGGCTGGAGGAGCTGCAACAAACACGAAGGCCGGAGGGTCGGCGTTCGCTCTCCACGACCCCGCCAGCGGTGGGCAGCCCAAAGCGGCAAGGGCCGCCCGCGACCGGAGCGCAGGAAGCCCGGCTGGGCGGCCGCGCGCAGAGCGCCAAGGCCAGCCCGGCGGACCGAAGGTTTGCAGCCGCCCCGCCCCCGACTTCGGAAGGGCGCCGGGAGCCCCGCCGCGGGGACGGTTGCAAGGGGCCCCTGCGCTGGCCCGGCACCGCCCAAGGTCACTCACCTGCCGCGTCCCACCACGGAGATCGACCCCCCCCCCTCCAAACCGCGTCCCTTCCTGGGCTGCGCGCTGAGCCCGCCTCGCCGCTGCCGAGAAACCGCGTCCCCGCCAGCCCGAGGGGCGCCAACGGCACTACACTTCCCGGCAGCCTCGAGGAGCCGCCCCCTTTTTTCGCGCTCTGTTGCATTCTGGGAGCCGTAGTCTTGGCTGGGCGCGATGGGGAAAAGCCGGTTTGGGGCCGCGGAGGTGCTGTCGTGGCCGCCCGGAGTGGGTTGGTGGGAACCCCACATCGCGTAGCCTTTGCGGCCAGGCGCCCCGAACTACAACTCCCATCATGCTCAGCCAGCTGTAGGGCTATCTCTCCCTTCGCTTCGTCTCACCTGTATATGGAGCGCTGGTCCGCCGTTCTTTTCTTTCTCCCTGAGCTGAGCGCGCCGTGTCTCCGGGAAGGGGCCATTATGACCTCACTGCGCCGATCCGGACACCGCGCAGCCTCCTCCAGCGGAAAGCGCCTCTCTGGCGTCCGCCCCTGGTCTCCAGGTGTGCCGCAGGTAGATTTCCCTTCTGCAGCGTCTGTCAGCGCCCCTCCTGGTCCTCAGCAGAAGATTCCCTCCCGGGCCTCACCTACGGCCAGGTGCAACGCACACATCCCATATTCCCCACCCCTCCCGAGACCGGACTAACCCCATCAAGGGACCCCGGAACCGGCGCAGGCCCGGATGTGTCCACCAGGTGGCGAGCGAGCCTTTCTTGAGCTTTCGGCCAGGCCGGCCCGGTTCCCGCGAACGGGTCTCCAACCTGCTGGGACAAAACCGCTTGTCCAGCAGGAGAAAAGAGGTCATTGCTTCCTGCTTCTGTCCCCCACACCCCGCAAGCTCCTCACCACCACCCTGCACTCTCCTCAGTGAGGTGATCTGAACAAGCCCAGTCCAAGCTGAGGCCCATGACTGGGGCAGCCCCTAGCCCCCCCCCCCCCCGCCCCCCATCTCAGCCAGTCCCAGAAAGAAGCACAAGATCTGAGCTGCTCCACCCTGCCTGGGAGGCACGGAGGAGGTCCGAGGTTTGACTGTCACTTCTGCACAAGTGTCCATGTTGTGACCTCAGGCAATGTTCCTGTTAACATTTTGAGCATGATACCTTTGAGGGGGATGAGGCTTCTTTGCTCAATGCCTCCTTCAGCCCTGTCTCCCCCGGATCTTCTGTCTTTCTCGGGCTGCAGGACAGAGAGGCTTGTAACCCTCCGTGTCTCTGAGAATCTCTAGTCCCGTGATGGCGAACTGATGGCACATGTGCCAGAGGTGGCATGCAGAGCCATGTCTGTGGGCACGCATGCCATCGCCAGCTGCTCTTCTGATTTCTGGCTGGTCTTTGCGGGTGCCAGAGTACCAGAAAACGGCCTGAAAATGGCTCAAAAACCGGCTAAAAAATAGGCCGGTTTTTGGGCCATTTTCAGGCCATTTCCCGGTTGTTTGAAGACGGCCTGAAATATGCCTGAAAACGGCCAAAAGCAGCCCCAAAAACAGGCATGCGCGCACCAGCCAGCTGGTTTTCGGGTTTCCAGCACACGCACATGCATGCACATGTATGTGTGTTCCAGTTTGGGCACTCAGTGCCTAAAAGGTTCGCCATCACTGCTCTAGTCTCTCCATCCACCGTGCAAGATCCCCACCTAATAGGGTCACCAGCTTCTTGGGCAGCAGCCCTTAAACCCGCCTGGTTCTGTTTCGAGCTAGCTCCAGCACCTGGGTGGGTGTCATCTTTTGAGAGCCAAAATCTCCTTGGCTGAGGCTTCCAAGCTTTTGAATCCAGCCTGCTGGCGTCTTCTCCCCTGCCTTTCCCACTCCAACCCTTGAAGCTTCTGGGTGCTCTCTGACCTTGATCATTTTCTTGCAGACTGTTTCATTACCAAAGAGGTAACATCATCAGTGCTGGTCCCAGTGATGTTATCTAGTTTGGGTAATTAAGGTTTGAGATAAGGAAAGCTTGGTCAGCTTTGTTCTGAAATAAACCATAAAGAGAAATCTTTTGAAAGCCCCCAGGCAGGAACAGGAAGCCCCCCAGGTTCCAGCACAAATTTATAGTCATCACCCTAAGAAGCCTCGGGTCCCCTATCTGTGGGACTTTCCTGCAATGGCTTTGCAAATGAGCCCTTGTCCTGCCCCTCCCTGTCAGTTAAGGGTTGTCCCTGCTTCCTTTCCCAATAAAAGCGAGCATCTCCCTATCTGGGGAAGCTGATGTCCCCTCCCTTCCTGAGTGCAGCAGCCACAAAAGCAAATCCCTGGCTAATTTGGGGAAGGGGGTTCCCAGTCAGCAGATGATGCTCATTCCGCAGCCACTCAGTCCTCCAGGAGCAAAATTCACATTTCACACAGCCTGGATTTCCAGGGTTCCTTTTATCAAGGTGGTCTTAAGAGTTGGGGGGCTGGGGTGGGCTGGCTGGAGAGATCAAGGCCTTTGTTTCCAAATAGCTAGTGAGTGCTGGAGTCCTCGCTTGTCCTAGATGATGTGGGGGAACTCCTTTTGAAGCCCACTCAGTGGGGCACAACTGCCCTAGAGAGGATTGGCCTCCATTGCATCTGCCAGCTCCATATCACACTCCATTTGCTGTCCACAACACAAACATCACCACCACCACCCCGTTGTGACTGCCCCCTCCCCAGGCCGGGTGCAATCCCTTTGGAGTGGCCATTGACCCTATCAGATCCTCTGCTGTCGCTGGGGCCCAGAGGATGGGGGTCGGGGGGGGGGAAAGAAAGATGGGATGTGGGCCGCCTCTTGTTAGCTCAGCTCCTCCTCCAGCCAAGGCATCAAAGCCCCTGTGTCACTCTGGGCCTGCTGTCCTTTTGGTCTCCCAGGACTCTCTTGTGAGAAGGAGGAGGAAATGAATAATCCCGTTTTTCTTTTTTTAATATGCTCCTCTGGAGCTAAGATTCCTTTGGCTTTTCCTGCTGCTGGGCTTCTCGGGTGTTGAAGTGAGTGAGGATGGCGCTGCAGACGCCCTCCAGCTCCTTCTTCCGCTCCTCGTAGGCCTTCTTGGGCGCAAGCCGGTTGTCCTCCATCCACGCGGCTGCCTCCTCGCATATTTCCAGCAGCCTCCGCTTGGCCCGGTCGTCCAGGGATTTCTCCGCCGCCGCCCTCTTGAGCTGGAGGGTGCTGGCCTCCAAGGCATTGAGGGCTTCCAGCTTCTCCTCCTCCAATTTCTCCTGCGCTCGATGTTCCTCCTCCTCCTGGAGGATTCTCTCCATCTCTTCTCGATCCAGCCGGCCCCGGGTGTTGGCGATGGCGAGCTCTTTCTTGTTGCCCGTGTTTCTTTCCGTGGCTGAGACAGTGAGGATGTTGTTGTGGTCGATCTGAAAGGTGACTACAATCATTGGGACACCTCGTGGTGCTGGTTGAAGGCCACTCAGGGTGATGGTGCCCAGCAGACGGTTGTGCTTGGTCAGCATCCGCTCCCCTTCATAGATCTGCAGGAAGAGGCTGCTCTGCTGGTCTTCCGTGGTGGAGAAGTTCCTGCTCTCTCTTGTGGGAATGGGAGAGTTGCGCTTGACCACTACGTCCATCACGCCTCCCACCGTCTCCAGCCCCAAGGAGACAGGGGTCACCTCCAGGAGGAGAAGGTTCTGTAGGTTTTGGTATCGGTGGCCCGTCAGAACGGCAGCTTGGATGGCTGCGCCATGGGCCACCACCTCCTCGGGGCTGATGCTTTTGCACAACCTCTGTCCGTCAAAGAATTTGGACAGGAGCCTCTGGATCATGGGGATGTGCGTGGAGCCTCCCCCAAGCCCAATCTCGTGCACCTGGCTCTTCTTGAGCCCTGCTTCCTCCAGCACCTGCTGGACCTGAACCATGGTGGCCTGAAAGAGGTCGCAACACAAATCTTCGAAGCAGGCCCGGGTGACCGTGGTGTGGAAGTCAATGCCCTTGTAGAGCGAGTCAACGGAGATGGTGGCTGTCGTGTTCGAACTCAGGGTCTGTTTGGCCCTCTTACAGGCTGCCTTCAGTCTCTGCATCGCCTTCCTGCTCTCAGCGGGATCCTCCTGAAACTTGTCCTTGAACTCTTGGGCGAGCTGGTTGGCTAGCCTTTGGTCAAAATCCTCCCCCCCCAAGTGGGAATCCCCTGCTGTAGCCACCACTTCAAAGACACCATCCTGGGCAGTGAGGATGGAGACATCAAAGGTGCCCCCACCCAGATCAAAGATGAGGATGTTTCTCTTCCCCTTACGTTGGCGGGTCTCCTTGAGCCCATAAGCCACCGCAGCTGCAGTGGGCTCACTGACTAAACTCAGGACGTGGAGCCCCGCAATTGCCCCTGCATCAATGGTGGCCTGGCGCTGGGCATCACTGAAGTACGCTGGGACCGTGATGACAGCCTGGGTGACCGGGCGGCCCAAGGAAGCCTCGGCTACCTGCTTCAGCTTGTAGAGCACCATGGCGGAGATCTCTTCGGGATACAAAACCTTCTCCACTCCTCGGTGGGACACCTGGACTTTGGCCTTGCCGTTGCCAGCCTCCACCACGTGGTACGGCCAGTTCTTCAGGCACAACTGTACTGACGGGTCGTCGTACCTGCGGCCAATCAGCCGCTTCACGTTATAGATGGTGTTTTCTGGGTTGAGGCTGGCCTGTAGTTCTGCTGGTTCCCCCACCAGGCGCTCCCTCTCAGTGAAAGCCACACAGCTGGGGGTAGTGCGGCTGTTGTGGTCATTGGCCAGGATCTCCACCCTCCCCCTCTGGCAGACTGCCACACAGGATTTTGTGGTGCCCAGGTCAATCCCCACGGCTGGACCTTTGGGGCAAATTCTGGCCGTGTCTAGTCTCAATGCAGAGGGAGCCTCTGGTCTGGAGGTGGGCCTGGGCGCGTCTGCATGGCTGAGGTCAGCTCCCATAGGTGGCTCTTTCCCTGAGCAGCCCCTGGCCTTCTGCCAATGATGGAAAATTGGCAATCCCAGGGGGCAGCTCTTCTTGGGCCCTGCGCCCCCCCCCACTCCTCCTCCTGGCCTTTTCTTCAGAGGACAGACACCCTTCCCCCATCACTGTGCATGTCACAATGGGCCCCTGGGGCCTGTTGGGGGTCTCGGTGTCCCCAGCAGATGGCAGCCCCTTTCTTCTTCTGTTTCCCAGGGGAGATTCTGCTAGAGAGCCCACCACTGTTTCCACCCGGAGAAGATGGGCCGGGGGGGCTTTTCTCTTGGGACAGCATCTTGACTCCCTGCTTCCAGCCACGTTGGGGGAAGCGGACAGTGCTGGGCCTCCTGGGTAAGTGCAATTGCCTTTGGGCAAGGGGTCTGGCTGTATTTTTTGTTCCTGATCCCAATCCCATTTGTGGTGGGTTTCAGAGCCAGGCAAGACAAACAAAATCCTTAAACGGGACAGAGAACCCACCCCACATCTGGAGAAGGTGAACTAAGCACTCTGTTCAAAAACATCTAGAGAAAATAAGGATACACTGACATAAAGCAAGACTTTTGAAAGTCCAGGTGGGCTCCATCCTTGAGCTGTAGTGGTGGTCCTGGGAGAGGAAGGATCACCTCCTAGACTGTGTCAAGAGCCAGACAAAGGGAGAGCAAGCCGAGCTGTGTGGCTCTTGTGTTCTTGCAGTTTTGAGAAGGTGCCTTGTGGTGCCACCTTGGAGTGGACTTGGCCCTCTACTTAGGCCAGGGCAGGCGACTTTGGCCAGCTAGGCAGCCACTCGGAGGATTTGCCTGGCCCGCCCTTCACGCCTCTTCTCTTGCTTTGGCCTTCCTGCTAAGCCTCAACTTGGACTTGGACTCTGCTCATGTGACTTGCTGATGGGCTGATCTGGGCTTAAAAGCCACTAGTGAGAAACTAATAGTCAGAGAGGGACTTCTTTTTTACCCATAGTTTTAATGCGCCCTTTGGGTGGAACAATGTACTCTGGCACTCGGCCGATTCATTCCCTGTCTTCCTTTGGCTCAGTGGCCTCGGGGTCTCCTTCTGCCCGCTCTTCTGCCACCTCGCCTGGGCCGGTGTAGACCGAGTCCCAGGCCTCTTCCAGGTCCTTCTGCCGCTTCTCACATTCTTCTTTCTCTGCCAGGGGGTTCCCCTCCAGCCAGGAGGCAGCACCGTCACACATTTCCAGCATCCTCCTCTTGGCCTTCCCATCCAGGAGCTGCTCTTCCGCCACCCTCTTGAGCTCCAGGGTGCAGGACTCCAAGGAGTTCATGGCTTCAATCTTTTCCTGCTGGTTCAGGTCGTTTGCCCGGAATTCCTCCGCTGTCTGCACAATCGTCTCTATTTCCTCCTTGCCCAGCCGTCCGCGGGTGTCTGAGATAGTCAAGTGGCTGATGTTCCCTGTTTCCACATCCTTGGCTGAGACAGTCAGAATGTTGTTCTCGTCGATAGAGAAGGTGACCAGGATGACCGGGACCCCACAGGGGGCTGGGGGGATGCCCTTCAAGGTGAACATGCCCAAGAGGTGGTTGTGTTTGGTCAAGGCCCGCTCGCCCTCATACACCATGAACAAGATGGTGTCTTGGTCGTCCTCAGTCGTGGTGAACTCCATGACCTCTCTTGTTGGGACAGGTGAGTTGCGTTTTATGATGGTTGCCATGACGCCTCCTTGAGTATTGATTCCCAGAGACAAAGGGGTGACATCCAGAAGAAACATATTCTGCATCTTGGCCGTCCGGTTGCCCGTCAAGATGGCGGCCTGGACGGCTGCCCCGTAAGCCACAGCTTCATCAGGGTTAATGCCTTTGTTCAGCTCCTTGCCATTGAAGAAGTCCTTCAGCAGCTTCCGGATCTTGGGGATGCGGGTGGAGCCCCCAACCAATACGATGTCCTTGATATCCCCTTTGCTCATCTTGGCGTCTCTCAAGGCCCTTTCAAGGGGCTTCAGGGTGGCTCGAAATAGATCGGAGCAGAGGTCCTCAAACCGTGCCCGGGTGAGGGTGGTGTGGAAATCTACCCCTTGAAAGAGGGAGTCCACAGAGATGCTGGCACTGGTGCAGGAACTCAAGGTGCATTTGGCCCTCTCGGCAGCCATCTTCAACCTCTGCAGAGCCTTCTTGTCCTGATGGAGGTCCCTCCTATGTTTCTTCTTGAACTCCTCTGCAAGGTGGGCCACCAACCTCTGGTCAAAGTCCTCCCCACCCAGGTGGGTGTCTCCTGCAGTGGCCTTGACTTCAAAGATGCCATCTTCCACGGAAAGTATAGAAACATCAAAGGTGCCTCCACCCAGGTCAAAAATAAGGATGTTTCGGCCACCTGCCTCTTGGTGCCTGGCATCCAGGCCATAGGCAATGGCAGCTGCCGTGGGCTCGTTCAGCAGCTTTAGGATCTGGAGGCCCGCAATGACTCCGGCATCAATGGTGGCCTGCCGCTGGGCATCACTGAAGTAGGCGGGCACTGTAACAATGGCTTGGGAAACAGAATAGCCCAGGTAGGCCTCAGCTGTTTGCTTCATCTTGGCCAAAACCATGGCGGAGATCTCCTCAGGGTAGAAGGTCCGTTGTTTGCCTTTGTGGGTGACTTGGACTTTTAGCTTCTCCTCGTGGCTCACCACAGTAAATGGCCAATGTTTCATGTCCTCCTGGACGGCGGCATCCTCATACTTGCGGCCAATCAGCCGCTTGGCATCGAACACCGTGTTCTGGGGATTGAGAGGGGCCTGGCTCTTTGCCGGGTCCCCAATCAGGTATTCTGTGTTGGTGAAGGCCACGTAGCTCGGCGTAGTCCGCTTCCCTTGGTCATTGGCGATGATCTCTACTTTGTCGTGTTGACAGACAGCCACGCAGGAGAAGGTGGTTCCAAGGTCAATCCCAATAGCCAGGTCATGTTGCTTAGGCATGGTGATATCCCAGAGGGTGACCGACTCAGGAGTGGAAGGAAGTGACCGTTCTCATGAGAGAGGCAGGTGTCTCCCCTTTTCTTTTGCCCCTTTTCTAGGACCAAAAAGCTGGACGACTAGGGCTTAGATTTTTCCTAGGGATCATGGCATCATTTTCCTTGCCTAGAGCTGGGCACTTGGGCCTCTCCTTGCTCTGAGGGTCCCCAGCCTTCCTTTCCAACCGATGTGATGACTTCACCATCAGACATCACAAAGGGGTTTGAACTGACAGCACTTCTTAAGCCTGAGTCACCTCCTTCTATGGCTCACCTGCTTCTTGGGTGGCATCCAAGGCCCCGTTCATCACAGGCTGTCGCTTCCAGACGAATGGTCAGCAGGTAAGCTGGAGAAGCCCTAGTAGAGGACCTGGAGGCTGGGGAAGGAAAGCTCTCTTGGGGAGGATCAGCAGCCACCCTGGCTAGAGAAAGGGGGACAAGGCAAAGACTGCAAGGGCTCAAGGAAAGGCATTTATTTATGCATTTGATGCACAGCTTAACGGCCCTGCCGGTCCTCAGTGAAGAGCCGGTTCAAGCTGTTGGTTTTGTGCTGAATGCCGTCCAAGCTGAGCAAGACTCCAGAGGCTCCAGCATTGCAGTAATGCAGAATAGAATAGAATAGAATAGAATAGAATAGAATAGAATAGAATAGAATAGAATAGAATAGAATAGGAATTCTTTATTGGCCAAGTGTGATTGGACACACAAAGAATTTGTCTTGGTGCATATGCTTCTCTGTGTACATAAAAGAAAAGATACATTCATCAAGAATCATAAGGTACAACACTTAATGATAGTCATAGGAAAACAGTCAATATAAATCGTAAGGATACCAGCAACAAGGTTACAGTCATACAGTCATAAGTGGAGGAGATGGGTGGTGGGAACAATGAGAAGATTAATAGTAATGCAGACTTAATAAATAGTTTGACATTTACTAAGGGAATTGTTGAGGGAATTATTAGTTTAGCAGAGGGATGGCGTTCGGGGAAAAACTGTTCTTGTGTCTATGGGGCTCCTGTGACGGCTGTGACCTCTGGGGAGGAAGGGGAATGTTTTCCCAGGAGCAGCCTTGATAGACACGTCTTCAGTGGGAGGCTCAGCCATTGCCATTCGCATGTGGAGCAAATGGGAGGAACCTCCGGATGGGGCCACATGACAGTGCTTCATGACAGTGCAAGGGGTGTGTGTGTGTGTGTGTGTGTGTGTGTGTGTGTGTGCGCACACACTTCAGCTTGGAAAATCCCTTGTCTTGTCCATTCCCTTATTCCTCTTCTGAATGCAGGCATCAGGCCCATAGTGGAGACTCATCATCATTCCTCCTCAGAAGGAGATCAAAGGCTATGTGTGGGGACGCACCTCCCACCCAGGAGTCAGCCGAGACGGTTCTCCAGAGACACCAGGCGGCTGCCGTGTGCCGGAATCTCCACCTGGCTCCATCTGCACAGTCTTTTTTTGGCTCTCTCCTCGCCCCCACCCTCAGGACTTTGACTCCCCCCACCCAGGGGTGACAGCCGCAGAGGAACAGGTGCGCCTGTCTCTTGATTTATCTGTTGCAGCCCCCTCCTCTCAAAAGCGAGGGAGGCAGAGGGTCCTGTGGGTCTGCAGCCGGCTTTCACAACTTTTGCACAAACTTCCTATCCATGGGTTTGAACCAGCTCCACTGCCAAAGCTCCTGCCCCAGATCTCTGGAGGAAAGGAAAGGACCCAGGGTTGAGGGAGGGTCTCTATCACCAGCCCAACTCTACGCTGCTTGTGATCTTCGGAGTGTCCTGCTCACCTTCTCCAGAACATCCTTCTGCCTCAAGAGGAAGTGCTGGCTGACGATGGCCTGAAAGGGGCTCCCCAAACTCCATGCTGCTCACAAGAAGAACTTGAGGTTCACCCCTAGTGAGGAGACTCTGGCTTCTGGCCGTTTGGCAACCCAGAAGCAGACAGACCCTCTTCTGACCAGCTCTTGTCCCTCTTTGGGGACAGCAGATAGGAAGATTGGGACAGGGGGTGGGGTGGGGGTTGGTCGGGGGCAGGAAGGAGAGCTGCAGACACACACAAAACGGGTGTTGGAGGATTTGACACCCTGACTGCCTGTATCCAGTGACCATGGGAAGAAGAGCACCCCCTCCCGGCTTCTCCGTTGAAATGGTTTTTGTTTCAAATGTTTAAATCCCACCAGGATCTTCTGGTTGGATCGAACCTTTTCCCACTGCCTCAAAGCTGGCTTGTGAGAGACAATCAGCCCCAGGATGCAAAGTCCCCTCCTTTTATCACGCGACCCAGTGTAGACGTTCAGATGCCTAGAAAGGCACACAGAGGGAAGAAAACTCTACTTAAGGACACGCTGGAGTTCTTTAGAGCCTTCACTTGCTCGTGTATATTCTGCACACACCAATTGACATATGTGCAAATATGCAAGAGAGTTGAGCCTAAAATACCTCCCCCCCCCCAATTTGGCTTAGGGGACCTGAAATAGCAAAGCCTATTTACAGCCTCTGCCTTGGTTGCTGCCTCTGGGGTAGGGATCGGGTTGCAGGGCCTGCAGCCGCTGCCAAAGATCCTTTTTTCTCCCTTCCACAAAATGCCCATAGCCAGAGCCCCGAGGAAGACACCGGGTGCCCACGCAGGAGACTGGCCAAGGTGCTTTCCAGAGAAGGGCCAGGATTGATCACGCGTGGCCTCCTCCCATCTCCAATGTTCTGGAAAGAGGCAGGTGCTGGGGAGGCCTTCCTTGAAATTGGGCTCTTTCCTGGAGGCCAGGACCAGTGAGGGTGAGCAGCTTCCCTCCAAGGCTGAATGGATTGGAGTGAGGGATCCCCTTGCTTGCCAAGGCTGCCACAGCTATGCCTCCCGGGCAGAGGCTTCCTCCTAAAAATGCTCTTCCTCCTCCTGTTCTGTAGATACGGTAAGAGGAGGGAAGGTGGGAGGGGTGGGCTCTTTGCTGTTCCTTGAGGGCGCCTGGCACTGTGCACTCACCACAGCGGCCCTTTCGTTCCACACAGTGCAAGCCCGCTGCAGGATCCTGCGCTGCAACTCAGAGTATGTGGCTTCCACACTCCCCCTGCGGGCTCCTGGTAGGAGGGCAGCCCACTGCCTGGCCCTGCGTGCCTACGCCCGCTGCACCCGCCACACAGCCCGCACCTGCCGCGGGGACCTGGCCTTCCACCTGGCCGTCCACGGCATCGAGGACCTCATGACCCAGCACAACTGCTCCAAGGAGGGGCCCAGCCCAGCACCCCGCCCCCCCCGGCCCCCTGGATCTGGGTCCCCAGACCTCTGCAACTATGAGAAGGCCTTTGCCCACAAGCGCGGCCAGCCCCCCACCTACCAGCACTGCGCTACCTTCGGGGACCCCCACATCCGGACCTTTGGGGACGACTTCCACACCTGCCGTGCGGAGGGCTCCTGGCCGCTGCTGGACAACCACTACCTGTTTGCTCAAGCCACCAACTCCCCCGTGGCCAAAGGATCGAACGCCACGGCCACGAGCAAGGTGACCTGGCAGCAACTGCTCTGGAAAGGGTGGGATGGGAGAAGGGGGTACCTGGGGGCTTGGAGGGAATTCGGGGCTCAGGCCTGCAGTCTGAAAATTCTTCAAGCAGCTGAATTTGGAGACCCCCGGGGTAACTTCCAGGAGTCCCACGGGTGGAGATGGATGGCCAGGGATTGGGGCTTCGGGACAAACCAGAGGGGCGGAAGGAAGCGCCCCCATTCAACCAAATGCAGCTCCCCCTGACTCTGGGGAAGGGGTGCCCTGGGTTGCCTCCTGCAGCTGATGCTGCTGACCTTCCCCTCTTTCCAGATCACCATCATCTTCAAGAACATGAAGGAGTGCATTGACCAGAAAGTCTACCAGGCCGAGGCAGACAACCTCCCGGCAGCTTTTGTGGATGGCTCGGTGAATGGGGGGGAGCGACCTGGAGGGGACAGCCTCAGCATCCTTGAACGGGCTCCTGGGCAGCACGTGGAGATTCGGGCGGCCTACATCGGCACCACCATTGCGGTCCGCCGGGCAGGGAAGCAGCTGTCCTTCTCCATCCGTGTGGCCAAGGAGGTGGCTGGCTCCTTCACTGAGGAGCAGGACCTGCAGCTGTGCGTGGGCGGATGCCCTCCCAGCCAGCGCATCTCCCGGCACCACGGCTGCTGTGGCCACAGCACCATCGCTGCCGAGAAAGCCCGCCGGCTGTGCAAGGAGAATCTGCCAGTGGAGGACGTCTACTTTCACTCGTGTGTCTTCGATGTGGTGGCTTCAGGGGACAGCAACTTCACCCTCATGGCTCGTGGCGCCTTGGAGGATGCCAAGCTCTTCCATCCAGATGCCAAGAAGCTTCACCTCTTCCAGCGTGATGCTGCCCGCCAGGTCGCTACCAGCTCTTTCCTCTGCCTCACCCTGGCCACGATTTTGGTATTTGCATGGGAGGTTTAACTCTGCCAACGTTGGCAGCATCCACAGTGTCTTCCTCCTGAGGCACCAGATACCAAGGCGGGAGGAGGCCTCCGTGAGGGTCTCAGAGACCCTGGCCGGCCTGGCAGCCTCCCTGGACAGAGCCTGAACCTGCCGTTCAGAGCAGTCCCGCTGGGCAATTTCTGCAGCAGCTGAGACTGCTGGGGGGCCGGTCATATCCGTGGGTTTTTTTTTAAGAAAATGCTTCATATATGAAGTGGGAGTCTTTGAAGGGCTTGAAGCAGCATCTCTTGTCTGCTGCAAGTGTTTCTCCCTGGAGGCAGCGAGAGGAAGCCTGGAGAGGTGGACCTTCTTCTTTCCCCCAAGCCCTCTCTGGATGGGGGGCAGCATTGGAAAACCGGTCCAGCTTCAGGCTTCCTTCAGTCACAAGGCAGCCCCACGGGCAGTTTGCTCCAGGTGGGGTAGGGGGGCGGGCGGAGAGTGCCCTGAGCACCCTTTTCTCCCTTTGAGAACAAAGGACTGAAATTCAACCGGGGCCTTTACCTGCATGTGAGAACACAGCCAGTGAGACCAAGTCGCCCTGACCAACCTCTGGCCCACCAACACTCTGGCCTGCTCAGCTTTTCCTCCTGAGCGGCTTTTCCGTTCTCACGCTGGAGAGCTCGGTTCATGTGCCACCCATGCTCAGAATCTATTTCTGCAGACAACCCCCGCCCCCCGCAACCTACCCCCTGTTATTTGTTTCTCGTGCTGCTTTGCTGCTTCTCAACAGGTGAAGCTCAAAATAACGGAGCAGCCTTCCCCCGGCATTGCAAAGACCAAGCTTGGGGGGGTTGGGGGGGTGCACGCGCGCACACGGGGACTGTGGGAGTCACACTGATCCTGCCCTCCCATTCCCTGGCTGGGGCAGGACTGTTGCGCCCCCTTGTGGCATCTGGCTGCATCTGGCTGAGAAGCTGCATCTGGCTGGAAGGGCAAGTTCAGTGGAAGCTGGGGAGAGAGCAGGCTGAGGAACTTCAGAGTTCCTCCCCCTGCCCAAGAATATACAGGTCCCCCCCCACCTCCCATCTGGCTCCTGGGAAGGGGCTTCTTGGAGTCATCCAACACTAATATTTGCTACTGGGATTTTGCTCAAGCCCCAGTTTCCTCTCTGCTTTGGGTCCAAATTGTGAGAAGGAAGGCCGTTCGCTCACTCAGTTCCCACCTTTGGGGGCGAGTATGGATGCCATCAAATTACTGAAGGAAGGGGCATCCTTGCCAAGGAGAGTTGGCATTTCCTCCAGCACCACATCCAGTCTTCTGTCAGCTGCAATTCCTGCATTGAATGGTGGGATGGGATGTCTTCGTTTTGGTTTTGAGTTCTGTAGAAACTGGACGATGCACAGAATAATGTCCCTTCGGAAGATGGATGTTTGTATGTATCTGACTGTGGTCTGAGAAAGCAGAGTCAAATCATGGTCTGGGATTGCCTGAGTAAACAACCTTGGCAGAGTTACTAATATGTCTAAAGAAAATAAATCCAGATATTTATGCGTTACGTACCTTTCCCTTTCTGGTAGCTTCTGTTCTTCTCCCCTCCGCACTCCTGCTGCCTACGGCTGCCCCTTCTTCTATGTCCTGCACTCTGGAAAGAGAGCAAACGGATCTTACTAGGGGTTCTAGGCACCCTTCCCAGAATATTTGCATTGGTATAGTTAACCAAATGCAACTGAGGAATAAAACTATCATAAAAAATAAATGTTAATTCTTCACTGGGAAAAAAAAAATATCAAAGCAAAAGAGCCAGTTGCTACAGCTTTTGAGTTATTCCCATCATCCTTGTAGAAACATCTGGAACATTTGCAAGCCAAGAAGTCCCAGCTAGGCATGCATGGAGTTCGGTCAGCCACCTTTCCCACGCGTGGCAACCATCTGTCTTGCCTAGAAATCAGCTCCTGGATCAACAGGAGGCTCCCGAGCCACTTTCTCTTGGCCTGGGAGATAAACTAGCAGAGTTTTCAGAGAAGGGATGAATATCTCTCTTTTCTTTAACAGTGCAAACACCAGCCAAGCCTATGGGAAAATTTGGGTGGAGTTTTTTTTTTTTAAACACAAGACATAAAACTCGTCAACCATCTGGAGAGGCCACTGAGCAACTGCTCTTACGGCTTTCTTCTGTGCCTGGAGAAGGACTTCCTTTTACAACATTTGGCATAGTTTAACATAAATTTATGGCCTTCCCTCTCTGTGAGTGTGCACGTATGCCTGAGATTCTCAAACCAGCTGGCCAAGTTTCTGGATTCAAGCAACTCGCAGATGGGAAATAATGAGAGCCATTCACATCAATGGAAGTCCTTCAACCTCCTTGCTGGGTATGTTTTCAGCTCAAGATGTACCTTGCCAAGCATCTTTTAAGGGCAAATGCTTTAAGTCACCCATGTTTTGCAAGAAAAATATAAACACAGAGAAAAAAGTGTGTCAAACTATTTGCCAACACATTTTAATGTTAATTTATATGAAGACTTAAAAAAAAAAAAAAAAGGAACAGAGATGCCTGGGGGAAATAGGGTGGGATTGATGAAAGGGGAAAAGAACCCAGAGAGCAGAGGTGGGTTTCAGCAGGTTCTGACCAGTTCTGGAGAACCAGTAGTGGAAATTTTGAGTAGTTCGGAGAACCAGTAGTAAAAATTCTGACTGGCCCCACCCCCATCTATTCTCTGCCTCCTGAGTCCCAGCTGATTGGGAGGGATTGGAGATTTTACAGTATCCTTCCCCTGGAGTGGGGTGGGAATGGAGATTTTACAGTATCCTTCCCATGCCATGCCCACCAAGCCATGCCACGCCCACCAAGCCACACCCATGGTAGTAAAAAATTTTGAAACTCACCACTGCTGGGGAGGGACTTGTGTCCCCTTCTCTCCAAATCTCTGTTCCAGGAACAGAAGTTGATTCACACCAGGATGTCTGCCCCAGCCCCCAGGGGAGCTAAGGGCCACGGAAGGACCCTCTTGCCGGCTTTGGATCTAATCAACGTTTTTTTAGTCAAGGGATGTGCAGGATTTTGCTGGTTGATGGTTTGTCTTCTCTGGGAGTGGATCCCGGAGGATCTGCCTGCCTCCAGAGCTTTCCTTCAAAGGCAGCTTTCTAGAGATCCAGCACTGCCATCAAGCGAACAAATAAGGAAAAACTGGAATGGCTGAAGGCTGTTTTTTTCTAACCATGAAATTAGGGATTTGTTTAGCAGAAGGAAACCGCCGGCAGGGTTCAAGTGACATCTTTTCTCCCTCACCGCCTGGACAGGCACATGGCTTCTCTTCCACCATGTCATCTCAAGATACATGGGCAAACACATATGCCCACAAAACGGGAAACTGATCGTCTTTCCAGATCTGCATGCTGTGATCCCTCTTGGTTGTTCTGATGTGCTGGATTGCCTGCCTGACTCACCACAGGGCGGCAGGCCTGCCTCAGTGCTTCACCTGCCTCTATCCAGCGGCCACAGGGGAATCACATTCCGGGCCCCGGAATCAGAGGTGAAATCCAGCAGGTTCTGACAGGTTCTAGAGAACTGGTAGCGGAAATTCTGAGCAGTTCAGAGAACCGGCAAATACCACCTCTGGCTGGGCCCAGAGTGGGTTGGGAATGGAGATTTTGCAGTATCCTTCCCCTGCCACCCCCACCAAGCCACCCCCACAGAACCGGTAGTCAAAAAATTTGGATTTCACCACTGCCCAAAATGGCATTTTCTGCAAAGGGGCTAGCAGGATACAAGCAACAGAGTGACCTGGGGGAATGCTGCCCCTTCCTCCTTGGCCTCCTCTGGAAGCAGAGGACGCCAAGGCAGATGATGGAGCTGGGGAGCCCTTCCACAGCCAACCCATAGCACCCGCCCCTCCCAAGGGGTCGTCCCTTTTGTCCAAGGATTGGCAATTGCCCCTTTCCAGGCCTCTGAGTGGAAGCTCTCTGGCCCAGCTTCTCCTACCTGCTCTCTGCCTCTCCCGTTCTCTTCTCCTCTGGCCTGGGCTGCCTCTTTAACTCCACCTCTGTGATGCTCCAGGACCCCCCTGCTTAATTAAAAGGAGCCTCTGTTTCTCTGCCATTGAAATCCTTGGAGAGCCCGGGGATAATTAAATAAGGATGAAAAATGTGTCCTCTAAGAGTCCTAAATAAATAAGAGGCCACACTAAGTCAGTCTCACCCAACAGAAATTAAATTCATTTGATAAAGATTTGGGGCAAGAACTCAGCAAGACCAAAGACACAGACCTCCCCCCCTCCCTCCCCAAAGAGGGGAAAACCTTCAGCCATTCCCCAAATGCCCCGGAAGCACTTTTGTCATCTAGAGAGCCCAAATCTCCCCCAGGAGCAAAGCTGCTCCCCCTGCAGCCCTCCGGTGGGCAGTAGATTCGAAGCCTTACCTTTGGAGATGCCAGAGACTGGCTGTTGCATGCAAAATCACCATCTCCTTTAGGATAGGAGGTGGCCAGGTGCCCTTGAGCCTCCCCCCCCAACCCTACCTGCTTTTGGACAGGCAGTCCCTGGCATCCTTGCAGGAAATAAGGGGAAGAAATGCTGAAGGTACCTTCTTTGGGTCATTTCTTCAAATAATTCAGTGTTTAAACTATTGTAATATAAATGACCACGAGGTCAAATTTTGCTAAGGTAACTGTTGCAGTTATTACCACAATATTTCACTTCATTTAAATTCTATCAGGAAACCATGTAGCATAAACGAGGTAAACAAAGCTGAAAACAAGAGGAAAAACCGTAAGGAAAGAATCCACAGTGTTGAATTGGCCAAGACACCTGGACTGCTGTCCAGAGTGAGAAGCCAACTATCCCTTTGTGTGGGTTCTCCTGGGCCCCTTCTTCCGAGGCAGCCCCATCCGGGTGGCAACAGTGAAGAAGCCCAGGCACCCTGGGAGAGGCGGGCACCGAAACTGGCAGAGATTTGGCATCCTTGACTTGAGCTAATAAAGGTATTGCCTTAATACGGATTCAGAATTATACAGTGCTAATCTACGGATGCTGAGGAAAAGAGAAATCTCATTTGATAATCTTCTTTGCAACCCGGGGAGGGGTATGTGTAGGGTGGGATGGGGAGAGAAGTGTTTAATGGCCTTAGATTTTCAGGCAAGCTCTTAATGTGAGCTGTCCTGTGATTTAATTAAACTGCCATCCCTCAGCACTGGTGTTTCACGCTCCAAAAATAGGTGACATTGAGGTTTCTGAGAAAAAGGCTATTCTTTTTGGCTTTAAAAAATTGTTCTGATCAGCAAAAGGCTTGCTCAGCAAATAAAGGGGCCTATTTGCTCACAATACAAAAATATAAAAAGGAAAGAGCGGTGGTGGTGGTGGTGGTGGGGAAATTGCGGCATATATCAGAGACCCATAGGACTGGATGACAGGGTCCTCCGAAAAGCAGCCACAGATTTTCATCCAGCCCGGAATGTCAGAAAAGCTTCCCTGATGCTCCACTTTTATAGTGGAGCATCAGTTTTTAAATAATTTTTTTATAGTGGATGCACCGTACAGCCTCCAAGACACCTTTCATGGTGTTCCCGGGTGTTTGGCATTGGAAGGCATGTGATTTGCATAACATGGCAAGATTGCCCAGGGCACGCCTGGCATGATTCTAGCCCAGTTGTTTGCTCTTGGGATGAGCTCCAGAAGGGGAAGTGTACCATTTGTGCACCAAAGGTGAGCAGGGGGCCTTGTTTTACCCTCAACTGGCCCCATCACAAAGGCCAAAAACGGTTCGCTTCATTCCCAACCTGCATGCCGGTTCTTTCCTCCTTCAGGCCTTCTGGTCCTTCCTCGCCTCGTTTCTTTGAAACATCCGGAGGCTCCAGCTGGTCCAGAATGCGGCTGCGCGGGTGGTTACAGGAGCAACGTGGTGCTCCCATGTGACTCCCCTCCTGCGCGAGCTGCACTGGCTCCCGATGGTCTTCCGGGTGCACTTCAGGGTTTTGGTTACCACCTTTATAGCGCTCCATGGCTTAGGACCGGGGTACCTACGAGACCGCCTTCTGCCACCAGGAGCCTCTCACCGACCAGTATGCTCCCATAGAGAGGGTCTTCTCAGGGTGCCGTCGGTCAAACAATGTCGACTGGTGGCCCCCAGGGGGAGACCCTTCTCTGTGGGGGCACCTGTCATCTGGAACGAGCTCCCCCCGGAGATACTGAGGATCCCGGATTTGTGCACTTTCCACCGTGCCCTCAAAACATTCTTATTCCAGCAGGCTGGTCTGGCCTAACCTCCCTTTTAATTGCTTTTAAATTTGTTTTATAAATTGGGGTGTTTTAAATTTGTTTTGGGTCAAAGTATTTAATTTTTAAATGGTTTTTTAACGTTTGTACTGTTTATTTTATCTTTTGGCTGTTCACAGCCCTGAGTCCTTCAAGAGTAGGGCGGTATATAAATTTAATTAATAAATAATAATAAATAAATAAATCTGCCCAGGCTAGGCCAAGGCATGTGGGCCGGTGCCGGGTAAGGCAGGGTGGGTGCCAGGAAGCTGCCATGCATGGTGAGTTCCACCATCAGGGAAGGCTGAGAGGAAGCCCAGTACCAAGCAAGGCCCTGCTTCCCAGAGGCTCCCAGGTGTATCTTTAGCTGCTTTATTGGAGAGGAAATCAAATTACACTTTATCATCACTGCCACCAGCATGAAGAGAGAGAGATTAGATTCTGCCCGACCTGCAGCAGCTCCAGTATTGCTGATTATCAGCCTCGCAAAGCCACAAATTGCAGTAGTGCCCCCCGTTTGCTGGGCTCCTCTTCCCTCTTCCAAAGACAGCAAGGTGGCAAAAGGACAGCTCAGTTCCCTCCACTTCGGCCTTTTGGCCTCTCCCTGCTCCTCAGCTCCGGCCAGCAAATCCAGGGTGGAAGGAGAAGCAGCAGAAATGCAGGCATTTTCAAGATCCCACCCCAAAAACCTCTCCTTCTCTTGAGCGGTGCTTGCATTGCCCCCACCTCCTGCTAAGGAGTCACTGTTGCTGAGCCTTAAAAGGGGGGCACGCAGGGGACATTCTTGCCTTCCCCCACCAAATGGGGAGAGCTGGAGTCACCCTTCTTCTCCTAAAAGCAGAGGGAATTGAAGGTAATGGGAAGGTTTAATGGAGGGTGGGCAGAGGTGGGTTTCAGCAGGTTGTGATCAGTTCTGGAAAACCGGTAGCAGAAATTTTGAGTAGTTCGGAGAACCGGTAGTAAAAATTCTGACTGGCCCCACTCCCAACTATTCTCTGCCTTCCAATCGGGAGGAAATGGGGATTTTGCAGTAACCTTCCCCTGGATTGGGGAGGGAATGGAGATTTTAGTATCCTCCTCCTGCCACGCCCACAGAACCAGTAGTAAAAATTTTTGAAACCCACCAGTGGGGGTGGGCCTTGAAAAAAAAAAGAAAAACAAAGCAGCACGTCCGTGCTATCCAGGTCAAAGTCCCCCCCCCTTGCATTCCCTTCTGCTTTCAGACCCCCCCCCCCCCCCCAGTCCCTCCTGTGTTCAGGGCAACCTGTGCTGTCCTGGGCTTCTCTGGCTGCTCTCAGCCCCCACCAACTTTGTACCACCCGGCCTGTATCCAAAGAGAGGAGGACACGTTCCCTTTTTTTAAACATTTATCTTTATATATATAAAAATTAAATATATATTTATATATAATATATTGTGTTTGCGACTAAAAATATAGTACATAATATTTTTTTAAGAATGAGAAAAGGAAACCAATTTGTTTTAAAAAGTGAGGTGAAGGAAGGAAGTGATGGGACAGTCACGAATGTATGCCTTCAGGAGAGAAATCAAAAACGCGCCAGTGGCGCCCTCTCCCCACACCATCACCTGCACCCCAAGAGCCGGAGAGGCCCGTGCGAAGACAGGCAGCTGTTCGCTCTCATCACAAAGCGCATTTTGGAGTTGGAATTAAGTTATTGCTCAAATTCTGGATGTTCATGAAGTGGGGGTGGAAGTTGCATTCATACAACATGACAAGCTTAGCTAATGTTAATGCTGGTTTGCTTGCAGCCAAGCGAGTTGTATGAACCCGGGCCGTTGGGCCTTTCAAACTGACTCCGGAAATGGGCTCATTCAGGAATGGGCCTATGGGCATGGCGGGTTGAATAAATGCAGCCACAGGCTTAGAATCGGTGGACTACCCTGTTGCTTTTGGCACCGCCCCTCCTCAACTCCCCCGCTTCCTGGTGAGCAGAGTGCAGGTTCAATTCCTGGCAGCTCTGGTGAAAAAGAGGGGTGGGTCGTGTGGGTCAGGGGTCCAACTCAGCATTCAGCAACTTCCCTGCAACTTGCAATATGAGACCAATCTGGGGCTCCCTGGCCCTCTCCAGGAGGGAACTGCAACATGATCTCAGCTGTTCCGGGAGATTTTGCACCCTGAACCCCCAAACTCACTTCTCTTGTTCCCCAAGGAGAAGGGGCCTCTAAAGGGGCCTCCCTTGCCGTCTTAGAAGGGGGCTTAGAAAGGGGCTCCCCTTGGAAAGTGTCCTTAAATCCAACGGAGGCCTTCTCTGGATTTTCCAGCCCCAGCGCACTAGGGGTGGCAGCAGGGGCGAAATGCTCGGGCGATCTGGTAGTGATTGTGGCAGGTGGTTCGGAGAACCGGTAGGGATGGCGGCGTGAGGCTCTGCCCACCCGCCCGGGTGTCGTTACTTCCTGGTTTTAACCAGGAAGTAATGTGTTTTTTACCCTCTATGCATGCACAGGTTTTGCGCATGCACAGAGGGTCTGCGCATGCATGTGGTGCATGTGGTCGCACAGCGCATGCACTTCTGAACCAGTAAGGAAGGCAAGTAGGTTTCACCCCTGGGTGGCAGGGAGAAGGTGAAGCAGAACCCCAAATAGCACCAACATCCACAGCGCTGCAGAAACAGACACTTCCCAGAACCAGCCAGAAGAGGGCGCTGTCTCAATGCACTTCTTCAGGTAGTTGTTCCTAGGCAAGTACAGGTGCCCCCCCTCCCAGAGTACCAGAATATGCAGTATGCAAAGGACGGGGTGGGTGTGGGTGTACCATTGTTAGATGGGGGTGGGGGGGGGAGTGGATTCCCAGTTGTGTGTCTCGCATGTCCTACTGTACACTTGAGATATGAACTGTGCCAAGGAGGGCCAGGGAGATGGGCTGGTGGGAGGGATCTGGTGCAGCCTAGAAGCCAAGTCTCTCCTGTCTGTCCCAGTTGGCAGCCTGGGGTACCTGCAGCCTGGGGGAGGGGGCAGTCAAGCTGCCCCCCCCAATTTACTCTGCCTTCTTAGTGGGCACACCAGAGCAAGAGTTTTAAGGCACAGGCGACAGAAGCGCTTGCAATCACTCCCCAGCAAGGAGGGCAGAACAATGGTGTGTGTGTGTCTGTGTGTGGCTGTACAGACCCACAGCGACCCACAGGATGCTTTCACCAACCCTCTGCAACAGCTGGGGTCCAGGCCGGAGAGAGAAAGAAGCCATAAGCCCTCCTGCTGGGGATGGGAGGGGCCCGTAAGATCTTGCCCCTCAGAAAGTGGCCACATGGGAGAAGGGAGGGTGTGTCCAGCACTGACCTCCCAAAGAACCTCTCCTCTTCCTCCGGTTGCAACCAGGCTGCCCCCAGCCTCAAGGGAGGGGGCTCAAACAAGAGGATGGGGGGAGGGTGCAGAAGAGGCTTTCTCCAGGATGGCTACCGTGGCAGAAGGCTTTGAGTGGGGGGACTCACAGTGCCATGTCTTGCAAAGGCCCTCCTGGCTGGCAGCTTCACTTGGGGATGAGACCTTCCTTTTGGGTGGGGGGCACCGGAGAGCATCCCCATCTTGCCCTCTCATAACTGGACCCACACAAGGTGCAAGTTTTATGAACACCTTCCTGCAAGAGAGAGGGGCGTGGGAGGAATCGCCCCCAAGGAGTCCATTTCGTACCACAATTCGCAGCATGCACAGCTGTGGCTGAGCCGGGCAGGACTTTCAGTCGGTCAGCCTTCAGCCAAAGGGGGTCCATGAGGGGTGCGGACTTCAGCCTGGATCCTTCCCAGCCAGTGTTGCCCCAAGTGCAAACCGCTTTTCTTAAGAGGGGCTTTAAGGAGGCACCTGTTGTACCTGAGGCTGGTCTGGCCATGGCTTGTGCAAAAAACCAGGGCTAAAACTCGACCGATGCCCCCCCAACCATTAGGCCTCTCTGTACCAAATTGGGCCTCAGTGCCCCCAGTGCCATGAGTGGGAGGCTGCCCATTGCTTTTCCTGGGGCTGCCAACGGATGGCCCTTCTGTGGGTAAGGTGGAGAATGAGTTTCAACAGAGGCACAACTGCTCTGTGGGTGCTCCCATTGCCCTCCCCACTTCTGTCTTTACAAAGAGGAAAGGGGGAGCCCTTGAGGAAGGGGCATATGGAGAAACTGGACCCTCACAAAAGAACCGCCGGAGACTGTTAAAAGCAGCAAGGAAGGAACCGTAGAAGAACAGCTGGACCGGTGGCCACCGCGTTATCCTCAGTCAGGCAGAAGGTGCCACGCTCTGCATTGTCCACAAGTCCAGCCTGGAAAGAGGCTGGGAAGGGGGAGAGGGAAAGGCCCCCTGAATATCAGGGGGCAGTCATGAGGTACCTGCACCCCGCCAGGATGCAACGCCCACTTCAGACATGAGTCTGCATGCGCTGCTGGAAACGCTGACCATAGTCCGAGGAGGTGTATGAAAAGCGGGTTGCCGTGGTGTATTTTCCCAGGGGGTCATATGTGTCGTAGGCCGCCCGGTCCAGGGTGGGTGGTGGAGGCTGACTGTAACCCAGGCGGTAGGTGGCATAGCCGGCACTCGGGGGGAAGCCCGAATGACCCCCATAGTTTTCATAGGAGAGTTGGCTGGCCGTGTCGGCAGTGGCTGTGCCTGGTGTGGGCCCCGGGACTGGGTCTCCGCTGTAGTCGGAGGCAGGGCCGCGGCCGTAGCTGCTGAGCTGGGCGTAACCGCTGGAATGGGAGAGGCGCGAAGACGGCCGCCCGTCATAGCGAGCTGGGCCAGGGGTGCGATAGTCCGTGTAGAGCACCGTGCGGGAAGACGGCCTGTCCTCATGGGCACGAACGTTGTAATAGCCATTGGTGGGATCCTGGGGGACCAACAGGGAGGGAAGGACTGTAGCAGCTCAAGTGGCAGCGTCACAATTGCTGCCGAGCACAAAGAATGAAAAATGGAAAGGAAAACCCCCTCCAGAACCAAAGTTGTGCCTGGCAGTGGGAGCCCTCCCCCCAAGTGTTTGGATGCTGCTGTTGAGGCCAATGGCTGGAGGTGGTGGTGGTGGGTTCTGAGGCAACCCCTTCAGTGAAGCTCCTCTGCTTCATAGCCACGAGGGCCCTGGGAGTCCACAGAAAAGGGCCCAAACCGTTCCAGGTTCCATTGCAGGCAATGGCCGGCAACTCCTCCCACCTCCTGGGCTGCCCCACAGTAGAGGGTGCCATCAAGCACCCTCCCTGCGAGGCAGGCAGGCCCCAGTCAGACAGGGAGGGGGCGGGGGCTGCCCAGAGCTCTCCGGCTGGGGCCAGCAACCTCCTTCTCACCTTCAGCTCGTATTCTTCCCGCGTGTCCACTGTGTCACAACGCAAGTCCTGCTTCAGGTCCACGTCGTCCTTGAAGGACTGCAGGGGGCAGATGGAGGGACAGAGAAAGGGCCCAAATTTCAGCCAGGCAATATATGACTGTTATGCTTCACAACATCCTGAAGTACCATTCCATTCCTATTACTCTCTTGCGGGCATCTTGAGGAACCCCTACGACCCAGCAGTTTCCCAGGGAGTTCGTCTTAGGCCAGCAGTCTGCCAGGTTCCCCATGGCTGTTTGCCCCATTGATCTCGCTCCCTGACGGATGCTTTTCCCAGCTCTGACCCACAACCCTCGACACATTCCCAACCACAAACACCCCCACAGTCTCCTTGATCTGAGCCATAATTTCAAGAGGGCGAAGAGAGGACTTGCGTGCCTTCTGACCTAGCTGGCAATTGGGTGAAAGGAGGAATATCAGGTCCCCCCTTAGGTTTTTGGGGTGAAGGAGCCGGGTGGGGAGGTCCCTCACCGAGTAAATGGCTTTCATGACCCGCGTTGCGGTGGAGACACTGGCCGTGTCCTCCTCGCGGTCTGTGTGCAGCGTCAGGGGCTCCCGGTTCACCGTCTCCACTTTGATGTCCAGTTTACGCAGGGTCACATCTTTTCGGCCTGGGCAGGAGAGAAAATGCATCCTATTTTTGATTCCTGGCAGAAGGAGAACCCCAGGGATTTCTCGGGCTGAGCCACCAGCACTAAGTAACGTTTCCCTCGCGGGATGGTTCTGGCGCCGAGGGACCGGAGAAGCACCTGACCAATTTCCCCCAGCAAAATAAAAAATCCAAGGTCTCATCTGAGGTGCCCAGGAAAGAGCCACTTCAGAGCCCAGGAAGCAGACGGTGCTTCCTGGGCTTGGCTCGGAAAGGCAATTAGAGAAACAAATGGGGCCAAGAAACTGAGTTTCGGCCAAATGAGCAAATAGAGCTTCCCCAGCTAGGAGCAGTATGCTGCTCAATAAATACCAGGTGACTGTCCTGTGGCGATCGGTCCCTCAGCTTGGCTCTCTGTAAAGCAGATCGTGCCCCAATGACCCCACGCACACCAGACACTCACTCCCTTTGCGACGTCGGTAGAGGAAACATCCCAGCGCGATGAAGCAGAAGATGAGCAAAATACCAGCTGCAATGGTGGCACCAACAATGATGCCCACTGGCAGAACCTCTGCGAAAGGGAGAGCGGGAAGCAATGGGATCGATCAAGCTTGTACACGCTTGTACATCTCCTTGCGGGAAGGGGGGGGGGCAGAGCAAGTAAAGAGGGGCAGCCCCAGCCCCGTTAGAGGGAAACCCAAGAGGAACCATCGTGCTAAGTCCGAATCGACAGCGGTCTTCAAACCCAGCATCATCATCTGGGACAGGCATGGGAAGAGGACCGCTGAATTTGCCCAGCCCCCACTCCTGGCCTTCCCTGGGGCACAAGGGCAGCTGCTGCAGATGAAAAGCTGGTGAGAGGCCTTCCCTGGCGCTTGCAGCCGCCCCTTCTGACTGCCCACCTTTCTCCTCCAACTGAATGATGGCCGTCTGTGGACCGAAGGCATTCCAGGCGGTGCAGTTGTAGCGCGTCTGGAAATCCACCTCCATTACGTTGTTGATGGTGAGGGTGGAGAGCACCCCATCCCCCGTGTTGCTCCGCTCGACGGTGTAACGCTCCAAGGTGCCCATCTCCAAGATGTTCTCCTTCCAACCCCAGGCCTTCCAGGGAGAAGAGGAAACAGTCTTTTGACATCCATCCGCCAGCCAGGCGGGCCTCCTTCCAGGTCCCTAAATACGTCCTACTCTTTAACGGGGACTCACGATTCGGTCGGGGAGAGGCGTGCTCCCAATGAAGCATTCCACTTTTCCTCGGTCGCCTCGCACAGCGTACTGGGTGGAATCGCTGGAGATGATCGGCGGACCTGGAAAAACAGCAAGGGGGAAGGCTCTTAAATATATATTTATATATAAAATATTGTGTTTGCGACTAAAAATATAGTACATAATATTTTTTAAGAATGAGAAAAAGAAACCAATTTGTTTTCAAAATGAGTTGAGGGAAGGAAGTGAGAGATGGGACAGTCATGAATGTATGCCTTCGGGAAAGAAATCAAAAACACGCCAGCGGCACCCTCTCCCCATGCCATCCCCTGCACCCCAAGAGCCGGGGGGGGCGTGCGAGGGCAGGCAGCTGCGCACTCTGATCACAAAGCCTGGGGTGCATCCCTCTGGGAAGACCCAGACAAAGCAGCTGCCCCGTTGGTGAGAGGCGCCCGTGCTTTCACTCACCGTTGACAAAGAGGGCCACTTCACGCTCACCCACCCCGATCCGTGGCACGATGGCCTTGCAGACGTACAGCCCTGCGTCTGACTGCTTGACAGACTTGAGGTGCAGCTGGTTGCTGTTCCCGAGTATCTGGGGGCGCAAAGGGATGCAAGATGCCTTTGGTGGGGGGAGAGTGGAGGCAGGTCGATCATGGGGCAGCCCTTTTCCTCCCTCCCTCCCTCCTGAGAGAACCCAATCAAGACATGAGTGCAAGCCCCATCCCAAACTGGAGCTGCTTCTAAGAAAAAGTTGCTTGAGCCCCCATCCCCAAATCTGGTCCTCTGGGGCAAGGAGGGAACGCACCATGTTGGATTCCTTCTTGGCCCAGGTGAGGGTCAGCGGGGGATTCCCAGTCCACACGCAGGTCAAGGTGACATCCGAGCCAATATCCGTGGTCAGGGGCTTTGGATCCACCACAATTCGAGGAGCGACTAGCAGAGGAGAGCAAGGTAAGAGATGGCATGGCAGCCATCCCTTTTCCCTCAAAGGCCCAAGGGGAGACCAGAGGCCCAGGTGGCTGAAAGTGGGAGGGACTGCAGGGAGGAGGCGTGGCTTCCCCAGAAAGGCTGCTCTCTCTTGTCTTGGCCTTGGCAGCCGTGCCCCCACTCACAATGGACGTCCACCAGGGTGCTGACATTGGTGCTGCCCACGTCATTGCGCACTTCACAGGAGACAGGCTCTGTGAAGAAGGTGTAATCCACCTGTGTCTCGTATTTGCTCTCCTTGGCATCCTCAATCATCGTTCCGCCTTTCGCCCACCTGGCAGGGTTGGAGGAGAGATGTCCCATCAGGCTGAGCATTCGGGTAGTCGGAGGAACCTCCCTGCAAGAGCAGGCGAGGGTCTGGAGGCCCATCATTCCCACCCGACCAGTGCCTGGCTCACCTGTAGCCTTTGATCTCCGGATTGGCATTGGCCAAGCAGGTGAAGGTGACCCTTTCCCCTTCCTGCACCGTCTGTGGCTGAATGGACAGTGTCACCGTTGGAGGGTCTGCCACACAGAAGGAACTAAGGTTAACAACCACGTGGCCCATGGCTGCCTCTTTTCTTTGATCTGATCGTGTGGTATCCGCAGATTTCTTGACCCCCATCAAGCTCCTCCTGTGCACCCTCCATGCAAATACTGTTAGCATCCTCTTTTGACAAGCTTTGCCGAAGGGTCTACAACTAGGCTGTCATGCCAGCTGGTCATCATCCCATCCAGGGTGAATTCAGAAACCAAAATATTAACCAGCTCCAAGGAGGACACTTTGCTGTCTCTTCTCTTCCAATTTTTCCCAGACCCCAAGCCACGGCTGCACCCCTCCCCTTCCTCCGTGGCCAGGAAGGGCCCCTTCTGAACCAAAAGCTTAGGGTCCTTATGCTACACAGCAGCTCTCCTTACGGTGAACGTTGAGCTTGATGGAGGCCTCCTTGCCCGCAGGGATGGCATCGTTGCTGCAACGGCACACGTAGACTCGCCCGATGTCCAGGTCGGTGGGCGTGATGAGGAGCTGGCTAATGGTGCTCTCTCTCTTCCCATCCATTAAGACTTCCTGGAGAGGCAACAGAAGCGGAAAGCCTGGCAACACGGCCAAGGGGAGCCGGGGAGCCATCAGAACGGAGGCCGTGACTCTCTCCCGTGGCAGAAAGGCTGATCCATACACAGCTTCCCTCCCTGCACTCAGGATGGCGGCTGGGCACTGCACTCTGGTGAATAACGCCCTCCTCTCAGGGGTGGGCTGCTGGCGGTTTACAGGGCTTCGGGAGAACCTCTAGCTAAGATTCTGTGCAGTTCAGAGAACCCGCAAATCCCACTCCTGGCTGGTCCCGCCCACCCCACCCCTCCCCTCCCCAGAGTCCCCACACGGCCCATTTTGCATGCAGGTAAGTGCAGGGCGGACGCAGAGGCTCGGGGAGGGTGAAAAATGGACCTACCAGAAGTTCGGGATGGCTGGAAATGGGGCCGTTTCCAGATGCCAGAGGGCCTCTGGAGCCTGGGGAGGCTGTTTTCGCCCTCCTGGAGGCTTGAGGAAAGCCTCTGGCGCCCGGGGAGGACAAAATGCCCCCCCTGCCATGATGCAGGAGGCCAACTAAGCCATGCCCACGCCCACCCAGCAACTGGGCAGAGAACCCTTGCTAAAATTTTTGAAGCCCACCCCTGCCTCCCCCCCCGTGGTGGGTTTCAAATTTTTTTACTACCGGTTCTGTGGGTGTGGCTTGGTGGATGTGGCATGGCTTGGTGGGCATGGCAGGGGAAGGATACTGTAAAATCTCCATTCCCACCCCAATCCAGGGGAAGGTTACTGCAAAATCCCCATTTTCTCCTGATCAGCTGGGACTTGGGAGGCAGAGAATAGATGTGGTGGAGCCAGTCAGAATTTTTACTACCGGTTCTCGAAACTATTCAAAAGGTTCGCTACCGGTTCTCTAGAACTGGTCAGAATCTGCTGAAACCCACCTCTGCTTCCTCCCCCCGCATGAAGGACCCCAGAGTCTTCTCTGGTGTCCCAGGGGAGGCTTCTGCACAGGGTGTCGGAACTGAAGTAGCAACACAGCCTTTTGTTCGAAAGATTCCCAGCAGACAATCGTGCTCTGGTGGCAGCAGCCCTTCCCGTGCCCTGCCCTGAATCTGGGGGTAATTGCACCAATCATCACTTCCAAATTAGCCTGGAACCAAAATGTTTCAGCCATGCCTATTAAATGCCCAATGAGGTCGCCCAAATTAATGTCAACGCACCATAAACTGCTTGGGGATTAATGAGCGAAAAACGGCCTCGCCAGAGCGAGGAGGCTGCCAGCGGGAAGGTTATTTTGGATTTTGGTGGAGAGAAATGAAATTAAGAATTGGGGAGGGGAGAAGGAAGCGCTCCCAGGAGGAAAGAGGAGGTGGAGAGAAACCCATTTGCAGACTAGCAGGATTTGCCCTTCGCACATGGCGCTGCAGGCACAAAGGCTGAAACCTGCAACTCCTCCAAACACTTGAGAGATGCTTGCTGGGAATTAGGGGAGTTGCAGTCCGATACGCGGGGGTGGGGTGGGGTGCGGACTGAGATCCTGCCTGCCTCCCATGGCAGGTTTTGGCCCCTCATCGTGTCTGCAGAGCCAGTTTCCTCATGGTACCTGCAGACCCCAAGTGGCCCTCCCGCCAATGTCATCCGGCGTACCGTGGCAGTAGCGGCCTCAGACTGTGGCAACCCATCGCGGAACCAGATGATTGTGGCCGCAGGCTTGGCGTTCTGTGCACGGCAGGTGAGGTTGTGTGGTGTGCCAGCCCGGAGCAAGATCTCGGGGGCCCCGTCAATCATCGGGTCTTCAGGGGGAACTGCCAGGGAAGCAGACAGAGCAAGCCACAGCCAAAAGTCAAGCTGCGTGTTCACAGCCCAGACCCTGGACAGAAGACCGGCTGGTTTGGGGGCCCAACAGTTGTGCAGACCCTCCAGTCCCCATTGGGAAAAGTGGGGAGATAACAGGCACCCCCATTCCTCACACTGTTTAGAAAGCACTGAAGCGTCTGGAAAAGAAAACGGCCGGCACCCAGAGCCCCTGGGAAGGTCCCTGGCCACGAATAGCTATTAACAAGGGATCGGTGGGAGGCAACTTGAGAACGTGGAACAGGGAGGCAGCAGGAGGGGAGGGGGGACCACGTTGCTGGGGCTCCAGCTATGTTTTTCCAAGAAGGAATTGCCCCTCCCCCAAACACTCACTGAGGACTGTCAGCTTGGCGCGCCGCGATCGCAGGGCAGCTTCTGTGGCCTGGCATTCATACAAGGCATCGTCGGAGAGCTCCGCATCGGTGATCTCCAGATTGAACTGGCCGGAATCTGTTACCCCAATGATCCTGTAGCGTGGCCAGGCTAAGAAGAGAGAGGCGGGTGAGCAGGAGCAGAGCAGAGAGCAGGGCCTGGTGCCCAGCTGGCATTGCCCTCCTTCCTGGCCTGCCCTGCCTGGACTTGGTGAGGCTCTGCAAAGCCCCTGGCTGCCACTTGCAAACTCTGCCATTGGCTCTTCAAGTCCGAGAGGGTTAGGGTCTTCAGGGTAGCCCTGTCTCCACTGCAGATCTGAGGGATACCCCCCCCACTCTGCACCCTCCACAAGATTTGGGCTGAAGGTAGCCCCAGCCTCGTCCATCAATGGCAGAAGGTAAGCTTTGTCCTTAGGGCATCTGCAAGGAGAGGCTTGACCTCCCCAAGCAAGTGGGTTGTGTGGGGGAGGGTGCCATTCCCATTGGCCAAGAGATGAGGGGGTCAATAGCCCCATCTGGCATACGGCCCCACCCCACGAAACACAGGGCAAGGAGCGCAGCAGCCCGCCCCCACAGCAGCTTTTTCTCCTGCATTGAGTTGGGTCACCTTGGTGTAAAATTCAAGTGTCTTAAACGGTGGAGGATCACTTGTGAGGAATGAAAGCATGCGAGGCAGACGTCTGCAGAATAAAAAATCACGGGAAACTGCCACATTAATTAATAAGAAGCGGCAGATGAATCGGGGGGGAGGGGATCTATCCCCGGCGCTTTGTGCGTCTGTGCTGGAGCGATGGCGCTGTTGGGCTGCATGGAGTGGTGGTGCTTGGAAGGAGGCTGGCTGATGCTGGGAAGGGGGGGACTCGCCCCGCAGCCCTGTCCCGTCTCCGAGGACAGCTGGCGTTTTCAGAGATGGTGCCCTGTGGTGGGTAGGAAAGATATCCCAGGAAGAAGCCCCGTCTCCCCTCCCCCAGGGAGCAGAGAATCTCACCTTTGAGGCCTTGTCCCATTCCCAGAGCCAGGCCATCTTTGGTCCACTGCACGATCCCGGAGTAGTTCAGCACCACGCAGGACAGCACCACCTTCTGCCCGGCAACCACTGTCTGGTCCTCCGGTTCCTCGATGAAGCGGGTCTGGAGGACTGAGGGGAGAGGGAGAACACAGTGGTTAGGCTGAGTTCTTTCATCCTAGTTTAATGCAACTATTCATGGAAATTGGATCTGCAGAACTGCCAAGAACAGTGGCAGTCCACCTTAGAGAGGCTGAGGATGGCAACAAGCAAAACAGCTGCAGCTCGAGCTGCCCAGGTTCTCAGGAGCCTTCTTGGTGAGGCAGACAAGGTGAATCAGGACAGCAGGGCACAGGCTGCGAAGGACTTCGCCCAGAAGAGACGTTCGTCCCTCAGGGCTTCATGGCACCAATTGAAGCTGTGAAGCAGGAAGATCCGGGAGGAAACCCCCTACCCCAAGCAGGATTGTCCTCCTCTCCCCCCGCTCAAACTGTCTCTCTCCCCCGCCCCCAGGAATACCTCTTTGCCATCTGTACCTGCCATCTGGGGGAGCCTTTTCTTTTCTGAAGGATTTGTTGAAATAATCATTAATTTGTTAAAAATGTACCACCTAATTAATTGGTGTTTCCTTCTGCATTGGATTTTTAAAAGGGGGGGGGGTTTCCTAGTCAATGGATTAACCAGCCAAAGGCTTCTCTCGCAGCCCCAGAGAATTGAGAAAACATGGCAGAGTGAAAGGGGGGGATGCCCAATGACGCAGGAGCCACTTTCTGGCACCCAAAGCACACTGAATGCCCCCCAATTCCGGGCCCAGCTTTAAATCAACTCAGCGGTGCCACCAAAACCCCTAAAGTGTTTGACTGCAACATGTGTAAGTAGGGATGCCACGGCGCAAGGCATCCTTTGCCCTGGGCACCCAAAGCCTAGAAGGAGCCCCCCAAGGCAAGCCCCTGGCAGAGGGTCCCTTGGGCATCACCTTTCCCATCCTCAGGAGGGAAGCCAAACTGACTGGACAAACAGCTCGACAAAGGCTGGACCCTCGACCAGCACCGGCCCTTCCCTGCCTCACTTTGCTCGTCTGTTATCCTGCTTGTAACCACCGATTTTAAAACAGCAACGAAAATCACTCCGAAAACCAAATAACACTTTTATAAATGGCAATAAAGACGCAACAGGAATGGCTATGTCCACTCGCAGGGCTGCTGCGATGTGCATGCTTAAAAATCGCAGGGTGGCGTTATTTTCTGGCCTCCCTCGACACAACTGCCCGGTGCGAGAGCAGGTGCGCAGACCCAGCGAGACAGAACGGCTCCCGCATGCCAGCCACAGAGCGGCTCGGAAGAGGCGATAGCCATGATAAGCCGGCACTGCAGAGAGATTTCATTTAAGGTTGCTGTCACTTTTCTCCAGATAAGAGAAAACGCTGCAGTCCTATTGATTGTTGATCTGGGAAGGGGAAAAAAATGCCAGAACACGTCACAAGAAATAATTTGTGTATGGAGAGAAAATGTTTGCAGTACCAAGAGTCCCCTTTCTCCTCCCAGAGCTGCTGTGCCTTCCTCTCCTGCACCTGGCTCCAGATCAGGGGCATACAGCGGCACGAAAAACAGCCGGCTGGCTGGTGGGAGACAGGACTGGGCTTGGAGGCTGCAACGATCATCCCAAGCTGGAAACCCCGGAATAAAATTTTTGGGAAAGCCACCTCCCCGTGGTTTGGAGCAAAGAGAAAAGTGGGCAAAGGCCATTCTGAAGTTGCCTTCTAGCCCAGCCAGGTGCATCTCTTCCATTGACTCCAAGACAGTCTCCAAAGCAGTTGGAGCCCCTCCCGGCGACCCAGATCCATCCCCCTCCCCAGGAGAGGCTGGAAATCCCTGGCCCTTTGGAGAAAGAGGAGGCAGGTACACTGAGTGGGCTACACACCCCTGGTGCTCCCCTAGTGCGGAATTCAGTCCCTGGGGGAGCGCCAGGGGTGGCCCATCACTGAGGGCCATGTTCAAAACAGAGCATGCCCCCTTCGCCAAAGCACAGGTGCTTAAAACGCCGGTTTTGTTCTGCCTCCTTCTTCCACAGCACTGGGGAGAGGGATGATTCACAGCGTCTGGTCCCAGCTGCCCCTCGATCAGCCCATCCCACTCTTCACCCCCCACCCCATTGCCCGCCTTGTCAGGAGCCCTGCCATCTCTGGGTTTTGACCTGTGTCCCTTGGGGCTCTTTCTTGAGATGCAGGAAAGGACATGGGGATGTGGTCGCAGGCTGCCCGAAACCAAGATCTGGGGATGCCCAGTGGATCGGTAGAGCTGCAGAAAGTGGGTCAGCAGCTAGCGCTGGAGGCCAAACCTTTACATGCTAATGGACTACAACTCCCATCCTCTCGCAACACGGACATTGGTGGCTGGCAGCCAATGACAATGGAGTCACAATCATGGATCACAGAGGGCTTTTGAGTGCCAGTCCGGGATCTATTCAATGGCCCCAAGCGGCTTCCCTAAAGCCCTGGAAGACAGGAGCTTCCTCTGAACTTCCCAGAGAACAGCAGGTGGCAATGGGGGAGCTTTTCCTGGAAGGAGGCTGTAGAAAAGCCCCCATTTTCCTCATCCCCAAATTGCCTGGTAGCTTCCTCAGAAGAGAGATGGGACTTTCCATGCAGGGAGCTTCAGCAACCTTCAAACACACACACACACACACACCCGCCTTGCTGGGCTGGGATGAGCATCTGGGGGACCAGTGTGGCTGCCTTCTTTCCTCCCTCCGGGGGTCCTCCTGGCTCTCAGCTCAAGGCAAGAAGCCGGGGAAGGGAAGGGGCCCAACCACTCCCAGCCGAGGATGACTAAAGGCAGCATTAGAGCCAAGCAAGGGGGGCTCGCCTCAAGCCCACCCCTCAATTTATCAACGGGAATTCTGATTAAAGCCTCCGGTCTCTCGGCTCGGGTCTCTCTCTGCTGGCTATTAAAGCAGGGCCCAAAGGAAAGCTTCTCATTTCCACCAACAGCTTTCAGAAGGAACTAAATCTCCCTGCTCAGATTTTGGCTTTTTGTCACCTTTTCTCCCCTGTGTTTCCTCCCCCTCTTTTGAATTGAAGCCTTCCCCCCCCCACCACCAAGCCCCTCACTTTCTCCCTCCATAAAAGCAACCTGGGCATTCTGTCCCTCCAAGGAACATGGAAAGGAAACAATTGGCTGCCCTGAGTATTTTGGAAATGAGAGGGAGGGTCCCGGGAATTGCCCTTGCTTGGGCACAGAAGAGATGGCAGTGCGTGAATCTGGGAGGGGAGGGCTGGGTGCAAAGGAAGGATGGACAGCCAGGGACAGAACAAACTGCTCTCCCCTTGCCTCCTTGAGCTGCCCCACCCCCCACCCAAGGAGGTTAAGCAGCACTGCCCATCTGCTGCAAAGCCTCCCCTGCAATCTGCCAGGGGTGCTGTACAGTACACTTGATGGCTGGCTGCAGAGCCCTCCTTAGTTTAGTTTAGTTTAGTTTAGTTTAGTTTAGTTTAGTTTAGTTTATTCATACTTATATGCTGCCTTCTCCCGAAGGACTCGGGGCAGCTCACAACAATAAAACAACAGAACAATAAAAATTAGCACTAAAATAATCCAATTAAAATCCCCAACAGATTAAAACTAACAACTCCCAGCAGATCAGGAGATTTGTTGGAAAAGCCATGTCTTCAGGTCCCCTGCCCCCCACCTTCACTCCGCCAAAAGCATTTCTCCAGCCTCAAAAAGGTGGAAACAAGACAGCCGACTTGCCTTCAAAGCAGCAAAGGAGACGAACAAAGATCTGCCAACTAATTGACGGGGAACAGATTTAGGTCTGGGGAATGGAGAGAGGAAGGAGGGATTTTGACAGGCACAAACACCGCAGAAGCTGCCAGACATCAAGATTTGGCAACATCAGAGTTTACACCGGAGCCATTACCTATCGTGTGCCAGGGGAGCCTCTCTGCCTACATCTGTCTGGCAGGCACCCTCTGCAGCGGGGTACGGGGGGGGTCCCCAAGGGGCACCCATACAGGCTCTTTGCCTGCACAGGCACCACAGCTCCCGGCTGCCCTCAGGGCTACAGCAGCGACCCTGGGGGAATCCCACCCCCAACAGCTGCCCCCCAAAACAGAAGAGCTGAGCCAGAGAGCTGCCCTTGTGAGCAATAGGAAAGTGATGCCCACAGAGGTGCCCTTCTCTTTGGGTCCTGCCCAGAAGGACCCTCTCCTTCCAAAAGGGCAGCTGCCCCAAAGGGATCCACAAAGATTACACCCGCCCCCCCCCAGCTTGCTTTCTTTTAGCCCCAAGGCTCCCATGTTTGGGGACCCCCACAAGCCTCCAAGACGAGGTCAGGAAAGATAAGCAAGGGGGAGCCAGACACCTGCCAGTCTTTATCTTCCCAAATGCTGACCTGGTTAGCACATCCCGCTTTGTCTCGTCTGCTGGCGAAGGAAGAAAAGCTGGCAGAGTTCACGTGGAATGGGGAGCCCTAAATCACAGTTTACAAACCACAATGACCGTTCCAGACATTAAACTAAAAATAAACCGGCTGTATTGTGGCTTAAGGCCAATTTGAAACGGGTTGTCTAATCTCTGTTCAAGGGCATTCAAATTGGTGGCGGGGAAAAGAAGGGGGGGGATTATCAATTACCCTGGAAGGATTCCCAATCCTGGGATATTCGTAGGCAGATTAATCTGGGCCATGGGAGCCTTTTAGCATCTCAGTCTCTGAATGGAAAGTCTCGGGGGGGAGGATGCCTGGGAGGGCCGCCCTCTGGTCTTGAGGTGAGGATGGGACATTTGGGAGCCCTGCACCCATGTTCACCCAGAGAACCACCCTGCAGTGTAGGCCATTTCGCTATCCTGATCATATCATCCCTGCAGAGAACTTTGGAGCTTCTTGAGAACTTCCTGCCTCAGCTTCTTCTGCTCAAGCGGCAGCACTAAGAACCCCACAATAAATCCAGAGGGGGCCCCAGAACTGTAGGGCGGCCTGTTGAACTCCTGAAAACGACTTTGCCAATGTTGCTGGGAGGCTGTCCTAGCCCCCCTGAAACATGGGGGAGAGAAGGCTGCCTCCCCACCCCTAGCTACGGTTAAGTCCCATAGCCACAGACTGGAGCAGCAGGGCACTCCAGAGCCTCCCGGGAG